ACAGACAAGTTCATTTGAACTTATGTGCTTTTTAGCTTTAAAATTATTGCAATTGTATTTTAAATCAATGAAAATAAAGAGCATTTGTATTTGTATAGGTAAAAGCTGCAGGTAAAATTTGAGGTACTTGGTTTCTCTGATAGTATTTTTAAAATTTTTAGAACCAAATACAGGGTGACACAATAAATAGGGAACAACCTATAACTTTTTTAATATATAAGTTGAAAATTTGAAATTTGAGGGGCTTAATCGAGGCAACTTTTTGAGTTTTTTAGAAGTAAATTGCGTTACCAGTCACTTCCGGTTAAACCGGAAGTGGCCATAATTTTTAATTTTCAGATGGGACACCCGGTATTTTTTGAGTTTTCTGGCATCAGCATATCATTTTACGTATGATAAGACCATTTTTGAAAAATTTATAACAAAACCAAAAAAAAAATTGCATTTTGTAGGCTTTGCCTCCAGGATATCAATTTATATTGCGTGGACCAGCAACACGTGAAAAAGTAGTTGACAGCAGTTGTCCCAGAGACAGATAATTTTTATAAGTTTGTCAATTTTATACAATTTTTTACAATTACAAGTGGATACTTCTGAGTGAACTTTCATTTAAAAGGGTCTGGTAAAGTTCAAGGCCCCACGGATTTCGTATCTATTTTTTTTTAGTAGGAAGCCCTATTGCTATAGAACAGTTTAAAAGAAAAAAATCGTTGGATGAAGCACTTCCGAAATTAAGAAACGCATGCAAAAGACGTAAAAAAACACGCAATTTTCAAAAACATTTTAGTGATAAAACTAAATTGACACATTGTTAACAGTATTGCCAAGTTGTTTGAAAACGTATAGTTTAAATGCGGAAAATGCACATTTTCCATCAAAAATTGACGATTTGTCTCACCTTTCGAATATCAACTACGAAAATTTCCCACTAGGGGTCGCTATCAGCGCGCTTTGTTGTCAACCGGTACACTTATGACCAGTATTAAAGGAACTGTAACGAAACTAACCAAAAATATGCAAACTAACTCAAACTAACCCGTCCACGTAATGCGTGCTAGTCCTTGAATGTTAATATTGAATTTAAAAAAAAAAACGCGCTTCGTGCGATTTGCTTTTAACCAGTACACTTATAACCAGTATTAAACGAACTGTAACGAAATTAACCAAAAATATGCAAACTAACTCAAACTAACCCGTCCACGTGATGCGTGCCAGTCCTTGTATGGTAATTTACAAGACAAACTAACCCGTTCACGTAATGCGTACTAGTCCTTGAATGTTGATATTGACTATTGACTTAAGAAAAACAAAAACGCGCTTCGCGCGATTTGCTTTTAACCAGTACACTTATAACCAGTATTAAGTGTTAAGCTCGGTGTTAAGCTTTGTTGTAAACTAGTAAGTACACTTAGGTAAACCCAGTAAAACGAACTGTAACGAAACTAACCAACAATATGCAAACTCACCCAAACTAACCCGTCCACGTAATGCGTAGTAGTCCTTGAATGTTAATATTAAATTTAGAAAAACAAAAACGTGCTTCGCGCGATTTGCTTTTCACCGGTATAAAAAAAAACACTCAAAATTAAAGATAAATCTTCATGTCAAAATTTTAGTGGAAACATTGGTAGAAGAATCCTCAAAAGGTCGGGCCCGAACTATGATTTGACAAACCTCAATTTTGTGAAAATATGTCTATGAAAGTGAAAAAGTGTTAAAATATTATGTTTTCACCAATTACTTACTATCCGTATTAACAACTGAATTGAAGCCAATAATAATATACATTTATGGAGTAAATTTGTGATTTTTTAAGGAAAATCTGTGCGATCCAACGATTTTTTTGTTTTAATCTGTTCTATTTGATATAAGCTTTCAAACAAATCAAATAAGAACGCAAAATTCTTGGGGCCGTGAAGTTTACTAGAGCCCATTTAAAATTTTTGATAAACTTGCTAAGGCCTCCTACAAACTTCAGAAGTGGAATAATGGATGGATAATTGTGAGGATTACTGGGACAAAGAAGCCGATTTGTGCCAGTGCAAAATTATGGTTTGCATATTTGTGCCAGTGCAAAATTATGGTTTGCATATTTGTGCCAGTGCAAAATTATGGTTTGCATTTTCATGGCTTAGTGGGACAGAGAAGCCGATTTGTGCCAGTGCAAAATTATGGTTTGCATTTTCATGGCTTAGTAGGACAAAGAAGCCGATTTGTGCCGGTGCAAAATTATGGTTTGCGCCTAAATTTTTGAAAAAAAATGCAGGATCGACTTCAAGTTAATGGGGAGAATGTATGTATTTATTTCCACTCAAAAGTGGCCTTGTGCAAAAACTTAGAGCTGTCCTTCGACGAAATCAAAGAACAACTGGCTATTGGATTGTGGTCGAAAGAACTCAGTTATTTCATTATGTCCAAAACACATATTGAGGATGACTCTCTTTTTCAAGACATTGTAAATTATGAGAGAATTGTTAGCGCCCATAAAATTCGTTTTGATAAACGTGTTCATCTTTGTGATACTTGAATTGAAATGGACCTTATGTCCCCAAGATACCTTATACCTATATATTTATGATACCTTATGTTCTTATGATACCTTATGTCCTTATCATACCTTATGTACTTATGATACCTTATGTCCTATAATCATACCTTATGTTCTTATGATACCTTATGTCCTTATGATACCTTATGTATTTATGATAACTTATGTCCTTATCATAACTTATGTCCTTATCATAACTTATATTCTTATGATACCTTATGTACTTATGATACCTTATGTCCTTATCATACCTTATGTTCTTATGATACCTTATATCATTATGAAAGCATGTCTATCTTATGAATAATTTATGTTAGGTTTTATGTTTTATAGGCGAGGTCGCCTATATTTGTCAGGAAAGCCGAGTTGTAGGCTTTGCCTCCAGGATATCAATTTATATTGCGTGGACCAGCAACACGTGAAAAAGTAGTTGACAGCAGTTGTCCCAGAGACAGATAATTTTTATCAGTTTGTCAATTTTATACAATTTTTTACAATTAAAAGTGGATACTTCTGAGTGAACTTTCATTTAGAATTTTTGATAAACTCGCTAAGGCCTCCTACAATTTAAAAATAAAGATTTTTCAAAAGTTATTGGGTTATTTCTCAGCGGATTTTAAAAATGTTGATATCAAAAAATAGGGAATAAAATCTAGTTTCAAAAAATTGATAGGTCCCGGCGTGGTTACATTTGAAAAATATGGAATACTTTGAAAAAACCTCTTTGTTTAATTTTGATCTGAAAATATGACGTTCAGTTAGGAGAAAATTGAAGTTACAGATTTTCCTGATAAAGAATGTCCAACTAAATCAATTTACACCAGTGGCAGCGCCGAATTTTTTTTTCTAAAAATTAATTCAATTTATTTTTTTTTTTTGAAAATTTTCCAAAAATGATCCTATCATACTAAAAATGATCTGCTGATGTCAGAAAACTTAAAAAATACCGGGTGTTCTATTTGAAAATCAAAGGTTAAACCGGAAGTGACTGGTAACGCAATTTACTTCTAAAAAACTCTAAAAATTACCTCGTTTAAGCTCCCCAAATTTCAAATTTTCAACTTATATATTGAAAAAGTTATATAGACTGTTCCCTATTTCTTGTGTCACCCTGTATGTTGGAGACGCCTCAACCAAATATAAACAAACTATATAGTTTTAGAATCGGGAAATTGTGCTCTTCAAAAATATAGAACCAAATATAGCGCATCCCATTTGAAAAAAGCTGAAAGCATGCAATATTTCACATTTCTGACATTCAATTTTTGTTTCTGACCATGAATTCTGAAAATTTAGTCAATACTGCACAACTTTTGTATTTACAGCTTTCATTTACTTGTAAAGATAAAGGCTATAGGTGGGGTGTCAATATATAAAAAAACACCCTATACAGGGTGTCCCAAATTCGAGGGTGACCATTGAGATATCGGAAACTGTAAGAGATACGAGGTCGGTTAAATTATGGCAAAGTTCACAATTTCATGACCAATAAAATGCCGTTTTGAAATTTGAAAAATTCCTAATATTTCCGAAGATATTCGGAAAAAACCGAAATATTGAAAAATTATTTTCATTTTTTCCTGGGCCTATTTGAAGAGCAATTTTAAAATAAATGTCACTTCATCATTGTCACTTTTTCCCCTTTACAAGATGTTGCTACCAAATTTCAGATTCGACGTTTCGTCTTTGGACGGCCATCATCAACTTTACTTTTTTAAATACGGATCCTTATTTTTTATTTTAGATTTTATGAGCCTCTGATGTCCCGAAACCTATGACGTATCGGACTTATTCGAAAAATTTATAATATTGGCACTTTCCATAAGAACTTAATGTGTTAGAGAGAGAGAGAGAAGTAAATTTTGGTAGGAAATTACTAAAAATTAAAAAAAAAAAAAATTCGAGTAAATGCGATACGTCAAAGGTTTTGGGACATTAGAAGCTCATAAAATTGAAAATAAAAAATAAGAGTCCGTATTTAAAAAAATAAAGTTGATGATGGCCGGCCAAAGACGAAACGTCGAATCTGAAATTTGGTAGCAACATCTTGTAAAGGGTGAAAAATGATAATGATGAAGTGACATTTATTTTAAAATTGCTCTTCAAATAGGCTCAGGAAAAAATAAAAATGATTTTGCAAAATTTCGTTTTTTCTGAATATCTTCGGAAGTAGGTATACGGAATTTTTCAAATTTCAAAACGGCATTTTATTGGTCATAACTTATTTATTGGTCAATTAACCGACCTCGTTTCTCTTATAGTTTACGATAACTCAATGGTCACCCTCGAATTTGGGATACCCTGTACCTACATAAGTATTAGAGAAAGTTGACCTACGACAAAATAATGAAATTTCCAAATATATACCTAAACAATTCAGTTAATAATTTTCAATTAATACAAGCATGAAACTTTTTTATTATAAGTCTCTTTTTGAAATTATTCCACTTACCTCTGATCTGGAATCCAATGCAAACAGTAAAAAGAAAAAACATAATCAAAACTGGCATGATAATCCATACAGTCTTCGCTATTGCCAATATTCAATTGACAAAAATCCAATTGCCCGTTTTTGCAAACTTCTTTGGCAAACTTTATCATTTTGTCGCTCACATCGCAACCGAGCAACTTGTTTAAACTTTTAGGTAGTTTAGGCAAAAGAATTTCCATAGTGGTGAGTCCATCTCCGCAACCAACATCTAACGCAGTTTGATTTTCGCAATTTTTCCATTGAATCAACTTCAAAAAATTCTCTATTACGTAAATGTTATCGGTGGTTTGTAGTGATTTGTGTTTTCGGTACAATTTTGGTTCGTTCATGGTTGTAACTTTCAGTGTCAACTAGAGAAGATTCTTAAATGGTGGGATTTTTATATTATATTTTCGGCCAGTCCGTTCATTTCGGTGATACTTAAAAATGCCCCTACCACTATAGGAGTAACACGGAAAACTATTCAAATTTGTTTGACATTCGCTGGCATTATCCTTTTGGAAGACCTTAACAATGAACCTTTAAAAATAGCAATAAAGAAAAAATAGCTTCTTGCCATATTGTTATTTAAAAATTCACCTCTTTCACCCCGGTAAACATCCGCACTTCACTGTAACAATAAAAATTCGAGATTTTTCATAAAATATTCATATATATTTTTAAAAATAGACTTTTTTTTTCTGAATTATTTTTATTGCAAAAGATTTTTATAATGCACTGACCCGTACAACATTAATAAGCGTAAGGACCCACCAAAATTTGCGATTAAGAAAGTTGGGAAATGATCAATGAGATCAATTGTTTAGACTTTAATTTTTTTCAATTTTTGTATTATTATTTTTTTTTATGTTGAAAAGTGATTACTTAATTAACTAAAAAAATAATTAGAACAATTTTTTTTTATCATTTATTAATAGGTAATTAAAACTTCATTATATGATCAAATTTAATCAGGACCACATTGGGGACGGTCATTAAAAAACGTAGAGAGAAAATTTGTATAAGTAGATATTTAAATTTCAATTGACCTAAAAAAAATCATTTTTTAATTTTTTTTTTCTTTGTTTCAATCCTCATTAAATATATAATCTGGTAATTCCAGGATGGCATGATTTTTGGTTCCTCTAAATTTCAAAACTCTTTCAATCGGTCATGCACCCCACGATAAAAAGGATGAACATTTTTGGCAAAGATTACCATGGGTCAGGTTTTTGAGGATGGGTGCACCAACCAGACCATACTTTTTTCCTTTTACTTCTTGATCTCGATTTTCTTGTCTCTGTCTTTATAAATTACTCTTTTTTGCTTTAATGCAAATATAATTACATAAAAAAAAAATCTAGGAAATTAGAATTACAAAATACATACTTAACAGGATTCAGGAATCATTCCAATATCAATGTTCAGATGTGAAAGTTTGGGAAACTCAACAAAACACAAAGATGAAGAAATTAAACATCAACAAATAAGAACAGTGCAGGCAAAAAGGTACTGAAATAGAAAAACAAAACCTTGAATGTTGGAGTAATTTACAGAAAATGGTACCTAAACACTCAATCAATATAGGTACAAGAATAACGATTAGAATATTAGAAATTAAATTTTTAAGGAATAGAGGAAGTATATAAAGTATATAGATCTCTGTTAACACAACTTTATTTACAACACCCAGAATCAAAAATTCCTTGAAGAAAAAGTTCCTAACCCTATCCACCTATCAAAATTATTACCATAGGTCAGTATTAAGCGCCCCTTTTCATCTAATATTCTTCAACAAGCTAAAAATTAACTTTCTTCTTCGATACAAGGTGCAACGGGCCCATCTTCGAAACCAGTTTGTTATACTATCGAAGCAATGACCTTTTTCGTGGGTTAAAAACCCTAGGAATTTATGTTGGGCAACAAAAAAAAATAACAATAATTAATTATAAATTAGGCATTTTGTTTTATTAAATTTTGAGTTAGAAAATATTCTAATAAACTTTCTGAAGATTCCAAATTTCGAGAAAAATATGTTTAATCCATTTTTAATTTATGAAATAAATACATTAATGCGGCAAAAGCTTGGACAAGATTTCTTGAATTCTATTTGTCCTCTTTGGTATTTGAATTTGTGTGAAGCCCAACATTAAATTAATATATGCTTATCACAGCAATTATTGATATATAAATAAATGAGCCTTAACATTTTGGCAACAAAACATTTAATTGCAGAAGCCACTTCTTCCATTTGAGCCCATCATTGTAATAATTACTCTTCGTTTACGTCACAGGTAGTTAAGGCATTGACGGTAATTTTTTTTTTGCATCATATGTACTCGTAGAAAGGTTCCTCTTCCAAGTCATCCGGAGTACAAAAGAAGAATTCGATTAGGTTCAAAACAGGACCTCTGGAAAATGGATTGTAATATCTACCCCTTTTGTCTCTCAAATAAGGATAACGTTTGTAATTGACCATTTCGTTAGTGGTAAGATTCATACAGGCATGGAGAACCTTAAAAATTATTATTTCAAAAATTATAACAAATTGTAGAAATATTTACTCACAGCAGTGCAAGTCAAAATCCATCCTAGTCCAGAAAATACAAACGCTTCCACCAAGCCCAAAATATACATAATACCGAATCCTTCTATTGCTATACAGTATGTAGCAAAATAAATAGTATAAGAACAATTAATAGCTACACTCATAACAAACAAAAAGAACCAAGTGCGATTCTTCAATCCAACACAATTGTAGACGAAGGGACAGTGGTGATCGAAATAGGAAACGCACCTGTTGCAAACTCTACAATGCTTAGCTCTGATCGGCCTCAGCGTTCTACAAGTGTGACAGAGTCGATTTAAAACCGCATTACGTTTTTTCCATTTGTCAAAGTACGGGATTTGTTTGATGGAGCGAGCATAAGAGTCCGAATTCATTGGAATGTAGCCGGGGTTTTTTCTGTTGGCCACTATCCAACAAATCCACATTACAATGTTCCAGTAGATGAAACAATAATGGGAACCGCGTAATATGTTCCAGGTAATTGGGATTACCTATAACAAAGACAAATTGATTTAAGGATTTCTCATGGAAAGGAGAACTTACTCTTATAATATACATTGGATATACCCACAATAATACTGTAGACATGAAAAATACTAATGGGGCTTTAGAATTACCGGCTCTGCCAAATAGCAAGCCCCAGATTTCACTAACTGGCGGAAACCAGCCCGATCTCCTTTTAATTGCTGTATGAAGAATATCCACAATGTCGATGTGTCTATGACCGATTGCCAGATTCAAAGGAGTTTTATCGTTTTTGTCTTTTGGTTCTAAATCTAGGTCATTCTAAGCAAGAAAATAAAATGAACAATTTGATGAACATTTTCAAAAAATCACTTACTTTCTCACAAAGAAGCTTTACGCAGCTTAAGCTGCCCGAAAGACAAGCAAGATGTAGAGGAGTAGAACCAAAATGATCAGATTTTTGTAAACTAGCTCCAGAGTACATTAAGAGTTTTAAAAGATCTGGATGACCTTTATAGGCTGCCCAATGCATTGCTGTATCTCCATTAATATCAACTAGATGATTGAATGCACCTAAAAATAATATTTGTTTAAATGAAAATACACTCATTTAGTAAAGCATGTAGGTACCCATTCCTAATAAATAAGCGGCTGTAGCTGTCCTACCAAACATACAAGCAGTCATCAAAGGAGTGAGCCCTTTAAAATCAGCCCCATTGACAGTTACTCCGGCTTGAAGCAACACTTGGACCACGGCAGCGTGACCTTTTCTACACGCCCAATGTATAGGCCTTGGCCCTTGAGTCCCTAAACACGGTAGATCGATCGGAGCTCCTCTATCTATGAAAAATCTCATCAGATCTACATTGCCGTCGAGAGCTGCCCAATGCGCTGGCGTGTAGCCCCATTCGTCTCTGGCTCTCAATACTTCTACGCCGTATTTTTCCACGTATTCTTCTACGTCGCCGATTTCACTTGAAAAAAAAATAATATATTACTAAACCCAAAACTTGTTATCGAGACGGAAGACGATCTAGAATTCTAATCGAGGGGCTTTTCACCCAAGGAAATCGGTGCACAAATTCCTGGAAATACTTGGAAATAGCTAGAAATATTTGGAAATACCTAGAAATTTTTTGAAATACTTGGTAATACGTGCCAAATGATGTGAGAAAACAGTATGTTTATGAGCTTCCTGAGCGCTGTTTTTTCTCATAAATTACTTTTTTTGAATTTTTACAGTCCAAATTAGTTTTATTTCGAGTTTCATTTGATTGTGAGAACCTTAGTGAGAACTTATTGAAAGGTACTTAAGTGTGTACAGGGTGTCCAAATTCGAGCAGTATCTGCGGGATATTGGAAACGGTAAGAGATACAGGGTTGATTTAATTATGGCAAAGTTGCGCAATTTGATGTTTAACATAATACCATTTTGGAAATTTAAAAATTCCGAAAAATTTTACAAAGTTTTTATTTTTTTCTGAGATTATTTGAATATCCCAAATAAATGTCACTCTATCATTGGCATTTTTTCTCCTCCACAAGATGCTACCATCAAATTTAAAATCCGGCGTTTTGTCTTTGGGCCACCATTATCAACTGTATTTTTTTAAATATGACCCTGGATTTTCTATTTCAGATTTTAAGAGCCTCTGATGTCCCAAAACCTATGACATGCCGCAACTATTCAGATTTTTAAATTTTCAAAACTGCATTTTGTGAAGCATAAAACTGCGATACTTTGCCATTCAACCGACCCTGTATCTCAAATCAAAATCAAATCAAATCAAAATTTGCTTTATTATCGAAGACATACAATCTTATTGACAAAGCCAAACTTAAATCTATAAACATAGCAATAAACAGCCTTAAAACTAGTTACATAAAAAACAATAAAATAAAATTCGATAAAAAAAAATATAACACTTGCAAACACTTAAAAAACAAACTGATTAAAATATAAATACACAGTCAATATTGAAATAGAGAGAATGCGAAAAATCAGTCATAAAAACAGAAATTAAACAATAAAACCGAAAAACAATCAAGCAGTGACCCAAGGTAGTGACTCACTGGAAATTTTCCAGAAAAAAATCCTCAATGTCATAAAAAGGCCGCACAAGCAATAATGCGTTTAAGCTCTTACGAAAAATCCTATCATTATTTATTTGCCTAAGGGAAAGTGGTAAATAATTGAAAATTTTCTTACCATTGTAAATAAAGCGATTTTTTGGTTTGTGTACTGTTAGGGATAGGTAAGTTAAGCGAATGGGAAAGACGAGAACTGCGTTCTGAGAGGGCAGCAACATCCTGCCTCTGCCTATACTTCTTCTGCACAAGACAAGCAGTTTCCAATATAAAAATACTTGGCAAGGTCAAAATTCCCTCCGACAGAAATAAAGGCCGATATGAGTCTCTAACTTTTGCTCGGCATATGTATCTCACTGCCCTCTTCTGCAAAATAAATACGCTATTGAAGAGTCGCTTAGAGCAAACACCCCAAAAGCATACACCATATCGCAAATGGGACTCGATCAAGGTGAAGTAAGTTTTACGTGCTGTCGACCTTGTTAAAATATTAGATGAATTGAAACTCCTTGTTATCAATTAATAGTAATGTTTTATTTTTAAGGATTTTTAATGGTGATTACATTACAAAAAAAAGTAAGAGAAAAAGGATCACATGATAACACACAGACTGACGCAAAACATTATTCTAACCCTAACTTAAAAGTACCACTAGCGCCATCTGTTACTCGGAGTTCAAAGATAAATATATTTGAATAATGGTGAAAGTAGAATGAATAAGTAAACAAAAAGATCATAAAAGTATAATAATATTCTAGATATTTAACACACCTTCTTAGTTTTATGCTCTCTACCTACTCCCTACAGAGATAAACATGTTATTCCAATATTAAAACGGTCAAGAAACAAACTTACAAACAATAAAACTTACTTTAAGTTTAATAAATCTCTAAAGTAAATAAACTTCTCTTTACCCAGTGCCTTAGTAAGAATATCAGCTAAATTCTCGTCAGTTTTAATTTTTATGATATCTATTACCTTAGCTAAATAATTCTCATGCACAAAATGATATTGAATTTCAATATGCTTAGCATTTTTAGTATAATTACCATATTTAGCTATAGCTACAGCGCCAGAATTATCTTCATAGATTTGGACTGGATTATTTAAGCTTTAAAAGTTTTTAAAATTTCTTTTACAACAAGAATTTCTGAAATAGCATCTGATAATGCAACATACTCAGCTGCTGTAGATGACTTAGTTACACTATTCTGTTTACGAGATTTCCAGTAAATTACATTCTCATAAAATCTAATGATAAAACCGGTGGTAGATTTTCTATCGTTTGAGTCACCTGCCCAGTCCGCATCTACAAAGCAGTCGACAACTTTACAATTTTCATTTCCTTTAGTATAAATTAAGTTTAAGTCTCTTAATTGTATGGTATAAATATTTAAGTATCCTTAGAGCGTATTTAAAATGTGTTTTTAAAGTTACAAATGTAGTAAAGTATTCGTCATTATTAATTATGTGGTCTGTACATCCACTATCAAGCACCCAAGTAACCTCATTATTATCATAAATTTTACTACTTACAGTTTCGCCTACATTTTGACCTGCATTAACCATAAACACACTACTGTTGCTGTTCGAGTTTGATTGAGCATGTCCTCCATGCCCCCTGCCTCTGCCTCGAAAGTTACCTCTCCTGCCTTGAAACTGACCACCCTGAGAGTTACCTCTCTTGCTGGTCCCATAGGTATTGCCACGATTGCCTTGAACATATCCTCTTGATGAGTTGCCACTTGAACTTTGGACTCTGCAATCTCTCTGTATATGTCCAGGTTTGCCACACAAATAACATATTCTTGACTGGTATTGCGGCTGCGGTCTGGAATGACTGGTTGCCATAAATACATTAGACCTACCCTGATTTGAGCTGGTGGCTGCGACCGGTCCATTTTCCAAAGCTTTTAGCTTAATTTTTTGCTTCAAAAATTCACAGGTTCTTTCAGCTGCCGGTAAAACATCAATTAGGTCTCCTATGTAGCTGTAGGTGCTCGGCAGCGCCTTTAGCATGTAGTTCAACTTCTCAACTTACTTAATAGGAGCACCTGCAGCTCGTAAGTCATTTATGCTTCTCTCAAAGGCATTTACATCAGAAAAATTCTCTAACTTAATTCCATCAAGAGCACTTCGATAGACAATCTGTAAAGCGGTAGACTGTCTGTTATACATCTCATCAAACTTTAGCATAATTTTATGTGCTGTGTCCAAGTGAGACACATATTCCAACTGCCTGTTAGAAATGCCACTAAATGTAATTTACCGCCTTAATTTCCATAAGATTCCACTCCTCGTCTTTATCTGTAACAGCCTTTTCACGAAGGACAACTTCTTTGCATTTTTTAAACTCCAGAAACTTATATAGCCGGATCTTCCAATTTCCATAATCCACACCATCAAATATCGGTATAACAACATCATCACATTTCAAGAGGGCCATGTTCACTAAACGTTTACAAGCACCCAGACAACCACTTTTCTTTTTTAAGCATGAAACTCTAAACCGCGGACTGCTACCATGTTAAAATATTAGATGAATAGACCTATCTCCCATGATTAGAAAAAGGAAGCTTCATTGTAATAAATACAAGTTAGAAAACAATAAAAGATGACATGCGCGCGCAACTAGTAGGCTGCAGTGTAGCCAGATTGTATTGTTGCAGAGCAAATGTAGGCAATACAAATCGAACATTATAACATTAAAGAAGTTTTATAGTCTCAAGTGTTTCACAACGCCTTAAATCAGACAAAAGAACAGCTTTAAAGCGGATAAACATCGTTTGCACTTTTATTTTCATAAATGTTTCATCCGGCAACATCGCTCAATGATATTGCAAAGGAACATGTCAAGTATAATCTAACATAACCTTAAACGAAACTGCGGTGAGATCAAGTAATATGTAAAGTATTAGTTTGCTCTTTGTCAAATTACACGTTACAAAGAAAGAAGGAACGATTCATTCTGAACTGGCCCCTGAATAAGAATATGACGCAAGCCTGTCATAAACTTGCTTCTCATCGGACGCTCACCTGCAGCCTACAAGCGACGCGCGCAGTCCAGGTAATAGGAGATCGGTCTATTGAAACTCCTTGTTATCAATTAATAGTAAAGTTTCATTTTTAAGGATTTTTAATGGTGATTACATTACAAAAAAAAGTAAGAGAAAAAGGATCACATGATCACACACAGACTGACGCAAAACATTATTCTAACCCTAACTTAAAAGTATCACTAGCGCCATCTGTTACTCGGAGTTCAAAGATAAATATATTTGAATAATGGTGAAAGTAGAATGAATAAGTAAACAAAGAGATCATAAAAGTATAATAATATTCTAGATATTTAACAGACCTATCAAGTTGGGCACTAATAGTTCTCAGTGCATAACAGCCGGATGCCAACTTCTTATTGAGAGCTTCAACATGGGCCTCAAACTTCAATCTGTCATCAATGTATATAGCCAGAAATTTGTTTTCGTTCAAATTGGTAACATTAGAATTATTGAGTGAAATACCCTGTAAATTACATTTAAATGACATTATGCATGTTCTTTCAACATTTAATGTAAGATTATTTGAGTCACACCAATCCTTCACATGAACCAAGTCATTATTTATAAGATCACTCAATACACCTTCATTTTTTCCATGCCATAAGATGGTAGCATCTTCAGCAAAAAGCGTAAATTGGCCTGCTATATCAATGAGTGCCAAATCTTTTATATAGAGAAGGAACAACAGAGGCCCCAGCACTGAGCCCTGTGGGACGCCAGAGCTCACATTTAGCTTTTCCGACATCAGGTCCCCAAACAAAACAGTCTGAGCTCTAGCTTCTGCAGCAAAATGTTATGGTCCACACAATCGAAAGCCTTCGACAGAT